TTGGCTGAACTAGAACCACATGAGGGACATGCCAAGCAATGGCCCGCTCTGATACCAAGTTGAAAACAGTCCACTTGATGTATGGAACTGTTTGAGATTAGATGCAAACCAGAAAATAAACAAACAAGAGAGGAAGAGAAGAGAGAGCTGGCGGCAATGAGTGTTAGAGAGTAAGAGGTTCAAACATAACCTCTCTCTAACACTCTAAACATCTTATCAATAAGTTAATCTTTGACAAATTACAAAGAGGCCCTTGAGTGGGTAGGAAAATACAAAAACAGAACATTATAGAGTATGGGCCCAGAATAAGGCCCACAACAGAGAGAAACATAACATAACATGAAATGACAGTCTATGGGCCATTCGGCCCATCTTCTCTACAGCGCACAGCTAACCTTTCGAACGCCATTTGATAATCTTGGACGGAGCCGGTCTGTCGTATCTTAGCGAGGCTTTCATCATAGTTTTCAAAAGCTGAGACTCCAAATCTCATGGTTAAGGCATCAGTGAAGTCCACCCATGTGGCTCTTGGGTGCCGTTGCCGGTACCACTGGTACCAGACGATCGCCTCCCCTTCCAGGTGTGCGGAAGCTAGTGGAACACGATCAGGTCCCTGCGTATCGTGGTAATCAAAGTACCTTTTGGTTCGCAGAAGCCAGGACGTGGGATCCTCCCTTGCGAAGACGGGAAACTCGATTCTTGCCGTTCTTGATCTGCTTCGATGACTGGTATCATTGCGTTCTTCCTGCCCTTCCCAATTCGGCACTGGTGGTGTCTGTTCCAGTCGCCCAAGCAAGGACGCGAAGCTTTCTTTTATTTCTTTGACATCAGCCGATAATCTTTGCATTTCTCCTTCCATGTTGTCGACCTTGTTCTCCATCGCGGATGACCTTTCGCTTTCAGTTACATTACTTAAAGGCTGACGTGGCCTTTTCTTGTACACTTGTCCATCTATTCCCTTTATTTGTGTCTTTAACATACTACAGCAATATAGGTTGAGGGAATGCAACAATCCGGGATGCAACAATCCATCGTTGCAAACCAAGGGTTGCTTCAAATCCTAGAAAGGAGGCTTGGAGTTAAACCTGGATTACGAGTTTCTGAGATGTAAGCTGAGGAAGATGGTACTGCCATATTGAACAGGCGTTTCTGCTGTTTCAGTCTTTGTGTGATTGTCCTGTCACTGATTGCAAATTTCAGCTATTCCTGTTTTATGCTCTTCTTATATTCCCGTTTTATTGCAATTTTTCTAAGGATAGTGGTGAAGAACACAGATGTTTGAGTTTGGTTTAATGAAATGTACTACCATTGTATCCCAGATGGTTTAATGAGAAGAATGCAGGTATTCTAGCTACTTCATGGAACAACAGTTCATGGTCTGTGGATTCCTCTTCTTTATGTTTTTTTATAACATATCCAAGAACCAAAAGCAACATATGTTTTGGTCTATTCCCTGCCCTAAGACACCGTGATCTTTGTAAATATGGTCCGGAATTGCATCAGAACTAGTGACAGGCAATATGCAATCGAAGACGTGGTTAAAAAGAAGTTTACATGTATTCAGGTTGCCCATAACCTGTTTGGTATTTTTTGTGTGAAGAAGACCAAAACGGGTCTTTTTTGAACTGAATTTGATTGTTTCATACAATGCTCTGAGTAATTGGAGAAACCGTGTGGTATATGGTATCCTTTTTATATGCTTTGTTTGTATATTAATACCTATTAATTTCATTAAATGAAAATTTCAATTAATAAAACATAACATATTTTTATATTATGTTTTATTAAAAATCATAATTGCTCACTTGCCCCTGCTTTGACAGGATCCCCTCTTTCAGATAGCATAGTAGCATTATGCATCCTCTTTCTTCTTCTTCTTCCTCCTCCTCCTCCTCTTGAGGAAGCTTATGCCTTTTGCATTCTGAACTATGCTTCATGCCTCCAGGTAGTGGAACACCTTGCATCTGCATCTGCGTTTTAAAACATTGCTTGTGCTGTCGTACGCTCGCAACTGTTTTTGTCATCTCTCTTAGAAACCACCAGCCAACTTATTTGATCCAATTACAGACATCTTTTTTTGTACTCTATGTATCTAACAATGCACATATGTTCCCATGTTTATTGAAATTTCTCTTCATGATAAATTTCATATGGCAGAATATTGACAAAGTATCAAGATAATCCTTGGAGAATGCAGCTTATCAACAAGCATTTCTTCCCAGAGAAAGTTTTTGATGACTCAGATGTAGATAAGCCTATATCAAGGTGGCGTCATCGCAATTTCTTTGGTGATAATGTTGCTAATAATCAGAGGGCACATTATACTGAGACACACAGTGACAGAACTGATTTTGAGCCCAAGCAATTTACTGTAAGTATCCAATACTTCAAACATGTTTCAAACCCTGAAAGTATAGGCAAGCTATATTTGTTTGCTAAGTGGAATTTTAAATTCCTAGGTCTTGTGGCAATAGTTTCCACATTAGTTTCCAGTTTTAATATCCAGCCTGTTCTTTCATTTTTTTCCTTGTACCCTTTCATCTTTTTGCTTTATTACAATATTACATTTTATTAGATTAAAGAATAAATGGAAAAAAATCATTCTGCTGTCATAAATATATTTATTCTGACCTCTTGATCAGATTATTTGTTGTTTGAGAAAATTTGAACTTTAAAGTTGACTTTCTTCTTTTATAAGAGGAATACCTCAAGCTTCGTTTACCTGCATGTGATCTCACCTAAGTACATGGGATTTATGTTGGAAGCGAGGTGGTCTCCTCAAGTGATGAGCAAAATGTGTCCTGAATTTTGGTGTTACATGAACTATGGGGGAATCTGGGCTGAGCCACACATCTGAACAATTCTAGTGTGTCACTTAGTGTTAGACACTCATGCCTGATACCTTTTTTTTTTTTTAAATAAGTAACTCATGCTTGATACCTTTTTTTTTGATAAGTAACTCATGCCTGATACTTTAAGATATCATTAGTTGAATGAAACTGGGAATCATAATGTTACAAGATGGTCTGTGAAAGGTACATGTTAGAGTTGGAAAGGTCGAGGATTTTTCCATATTGAATTTGCTTATTGAAAATCTTATACATGGTTTTCGAACCACTGTTGACCTGGATGGTTGTACCGTTTGGTCTGGGAATCGTTCAGGCAACTGGTTCCATTTTACCCCAAACCTGGTCCCTGGCCAAAAAATGTTGAATCAGTTAATAATCCGTTGACCTGGGCTGTCGAACTGTCGACCCATTCGACCTGTTCAACAGTTTTTGGCCTTTTTATTTTAATTATTTTTTAATTTTAATTTTTTTGTTTGAACGGGCCATCTATTTGAATTGAACAGTTGAACCACCAACCCAGAAACCGGTGGCCAGAACGGTTCCGGTTTTGGGTCATTTTTTAAATCATTGATCTTATAAAATGAACTTTGTCATACTTTAAGAACCATATGTTTACTTGCCACAATGACTTTAAAGGTGCGCCTAGGCACACAAGCGATGCATATTTTAGGGTATGCGCATCGCTTAGGTCCCAAGCACAACGATTTCAAAAGGTGTGTGCCTGGTGCACCTTGCCCTTCAGCCTAGGTGTGCACCATCTGAAAATCTGTGCTTTTTTTCTGTTTTTTTTTGTGCATTCCCATATTTGCTAATGTTGTTCATTGATCCATCCTAATAAAAGATATTTTTAAAAGACACTTAAAGTTATAAATCATTTTTTATAGGGATTAAGAACTTAAGACCCTGATATGGACTTGTTTAGGCTTGCCTCAAGGGGCTTGGTACAAAGGCGGCTTGTAGAATATGAAATGCATAATGTTTAACTTCACATTAGCCATTTGAATTAATGCAATTGGAAAAAAATAAAGAGATTAAGAGTTTACATAATTGAATATGTTTTATATGTTATACTTGATTTTATTTTTAAAATTTCATTTTAAATATGTTTTTTTTTTACATGTTATATTTATGTATTTTAATTTGAGATAATAGGTTCTTTTAAAATATTTATTTTATGATTTAAGTATTTTTAATTTATAATGTGTTTAGTATCTTTAATATTTTGCATTTTTAATTTTTTAATCTTTATCATTTTTTGACTTTTTTTTGTGCTTTGCTTCAAAAAGTTGTGCACCTCACGCTTTGGGTGCAAAATGGCCCTTACATTATGGGCTGCGGTAAAAGGAATACAGGTTGCCAACCAACTAGGAGTGGAAAATCTGATAGTTGAGGGAGACTCTAAGGTGGTAGTGGGCTGGCTGTTGAATCTAGAAACAGTCTTTTGGGTCTACAGGCATCTTCTCTAGAAAGTTAATTGGCTCAAAAGGAATATGTCAGTCAGTTTTCTGTGGTTTAGCTGATTGGCAAATGCTATTGCTGATTCTTTGGCTAAACAAGGGGTCTAAAGGGTTAAATTATTTTGGGCTATGTTATGATTGTATCCTGCTAAGAGTGGTTACGTTTTCATCTCTAAGGAGAGGTAACATCTTGTGCCTCCTCTTAGGGTGAATGTATACTTCATTCTTTTATTAATAAAATCATTATTCGTTTATCAAGAAAAGGGGGGGGGGCTATGTTGAAACTGTCCTTGTATCACCATCTGCATATTATTTCTCAGCTGTCTAAATCTATCCTCCAGATAAATGTATTATTGATGTGGTAATGGCAACTTGTATGCTTCCACAACTCGATTATCAATATATATCATATATGGAACTACATGTGCTTGGAGTTCATTAATTTTTAAGTATAAACTTATGATATGGTTAGAACCATTTATATGTAAATGTACTTAAACATAATCTAATATCTAAGTTAATCATGCTGTTACATCATATATGCTTATTGCCATCAAGTTTAGCTTATATACCTTGGTATTTTTGTGTATCCTTATTTTTTACTTGTAGATTATTTACTGGTTAAAAGGACATGGCTTGCTGAAGTAGTGAGGAATTGTTTAAGGGCTCATAATTTTGTAAAGAGATTGGGCCGAATGGGCCCTAACAGCCTTTCGTGTGATATCCTTTATTTTATCTTTTATTTTATGTTGATGGGCCTCACTTAATGGGCCTGTTATTTGTTCTTATTTTATTTTCTTTATGTAACTGCCAAGCTGGCCACCCACTTAAGGGTATACTTGTCATCATCAATTTTTTAGAGATTAATAAAATAGGGTTAGAGGAGAAGGGTGATTAAT